CCCCCCCCCCCCCCCCTCCCCCCCCCCCCCCCCCCTCTCCTCCCCGGGGGGGGGCGGGTCCCAGCCTAGGCCGGAGCTGAGCCCGCCTCCGCGCGCCACCCCCTCGTCTCTCCGCAGTACTCGCCGGGGATGACCATGAGCGTGTGATGGGGCAGTAGCCCCTTGCCCACTGCCGGCCTCGGCTTCTGCCCAGTGCCCCTGCCTGGGACCAAGGTCCAGGGGCTCGGGCAGTCTGCTGGGTGAGGGTCTGAGGTCACACCTCGGGCGACTGTACTCCAGTTCAAGGATTGGACAGCTGGGAGGCCCCACACGAAGGACTCTCATTTTATAAAAAAACAAAACAAAAAACAAAAAACGCAAGGACCTCAGAGACGTTCTTTCATGTATAGGACCTTCCTGCCATTTCTATTTTGTCCAAGGGGGCTCCCTGGGGACCTCTTTTTCCCCTGGACAGCAGGGGGTGGGCCCCATCAATAAATGTAACTTGGTTTTGGTTTTTGGTATCTGGTCTCAGATTTCTTCACTTTGGCTTGCAGCCACATCCTCCATCATGGGGTTAGGCAGAGGCTTCAGGGTTCTGGAAGTCTCAAGATTTGGGACATCAGTTTTTGAAGGGTAGGTTGGAGTCTACCACGTGAGAAACGGGAAATGGGGTCTAGAGTGGGGGGGTGGGGTGATTAGGATTAGGTCGCAGGCGCCAAGAACCCACAGGTGATGCTGTGGCCGTAGTGGCACTGGCTTTATTGTCTTTAGGGGTCTTGGAAAGGTTGGGTCCTGAGGGGCAATGGAGGCCGGAGCTTGGGGGCAGAAGAATGACCATGGCCTTAAGTGGTGGGCATCTGGGGTGCGTCAACCTGCGAGTGCCCGTTGGCATCACCCGCACAGACGTTGGGGTCAGTTGGCGCTGGTCCCTTCTTGCAAGGCACAGGGCAGGCAGCGACCACGGGCCCCCCTCGCGTGAGGCCCGGGCGCTCCATCTTGTGCTCCAGAAGCATGTGGTTCTGTGGCGGGAGCCCCGCACAGGCCCTGGGGAAAAGGCTGGGGGTTAGCGGGGGCCGGACTCCGCAGCCGGTGGACCCCGCGGCCTCGGATCCCTAGAATCCCTGTGGCCACTAGGGCCTGGGCCTGGGAGCCCCAAGGCCAGGGCGCACCTGAGGATATTCTCGATGCAGCTGCGCTGGCGGAAGAGCGCATTGACCACCGGGCTGCCCGGGGGCACTAGCGGCGCCTTGAAGAGGAAGCTGAGCAGCGACAGCACCGAGTGGAAGGTCTGCGGCTCGGGGTCGGCGTCGGTGCAGAAGCTCACTCGCTGGCACAGTTCGGTCAGCAGCACCAGGTCTAGCATGATGGGCGCGGCCAGAAGCGAGTCCTGTGGGGCCGGGGGGGGGGGGGGGGGGGGGAGGGGGGGGGGGGCGGGGGGCAGCCCCCCTCCCGCCCCGGCGGGCCCCGCACCTCGCACGTGTTGTGCAGCACCAGCGTGTTGGTGCCGCCCAGCATCAGCTCCGACGTGTACTCATCCAACGCACGCTTGCTGTCGCCCACGTACGGCACGTACTTGATGACCACCTGGAGGGCAGCACGAGGTCACGGGGTCCCCGCCCTCCTCGGCCGGGAGCCCCCACCCCCACCCCACCCCCATAGCGGCCCACGGCCCACGCACACAGTGGTCGGGCTCCTCGCCGGGTGCGTAGAGCACCGGGTTGCTCTGCACCATGTCATCCACCACGCTGCTCTTGGACACCTCCTTGGAGCGGAACTGTGGCGGCGCCGACAGGTTCTGCCCGTCGTTGTTGCCCAGGTGGTTGTAGCTCACGATGGACATGGTCTGCGGGGAAAAAGGGGCCCCGCGGCAGCTGCAGGCCCCACAGCGCACAACCCCGGCGCTTAGGGTCCAAGCACCCCCTCCTGCGCCGTGCATCCCCGGGGCCCACGCACCTTGAGGCCGGAGCCAATAAGGAAGTCCACCAGTACGGACTTGACCTTGGTCTGTCCTGACTTGAAGTCGTCTCCACCCACGAAGACGCGTCGCTGACGTGCAAGCTCGAGGGCCCCGGGTACCAGCGTGTTCTGCGGGGACCCGTTGAGGAAGGCACAGCCCTCCAAGATGCTGGCCACAGCGAAGAGAGTGGAGGGCGACACCTCCAGGCCCAGCTGCGGACGTAGGCGGGCAGTCAGCACGGAGGGGTTCTTTGGGGCTCTGGCCCTGACCCCTCTCCAACCCCGTGTGCACCCCCACCTGGATGGTACGCAGCAAGTTCTCAGCAGTGTCATTGAGGCCTGGGACCACTTCGCAGAAGCGCTCCGTGTTCGCTGTCCACAGGACGATGACTTTGTCTAGCCCAGCGCTGGACCGGAAGTCACGGATGTCCCTGCGGATCTGCTCCAACTGGGCGGGGAGGGAAGGAGGTCGTACAGGCCCCTCGATCTGGAGAGGTCTGGGCGACTCAGTTGCCCAAGTGCAGCGTGAGGTGTGGACCCTCAGGATGGGAGCGTGAAGACAAAAGACGGATAGAGAACGTGGGGGCAAACGGCGGGAGCAACAAGTGGCAAGGGATAAAGGACTTGGGGCGGGGCTGCACCTGCTGGGCGCGAGTGCCAAGTATGAGGTTGTCCGCACGCGCACTCTGGTTAGCGGCGATGAACTCGGGGATGTAGACAGAGGGCCGGGGGCGGAGGGACTCCATGTGTGGCCACAGTTGCTCCTGCAGTCCCCAATCCAATACTTGCGCGCGCCGCATGGCCTCAGCCAGGTTCACGGATGATATGTCCCAGCCTGCGGCGGGGTGCGGGGTGGGAGGCTAACACCCCCAAGCTCAGCCCAGCCCGGAACCTAGGCCCCTCCAGGCCCCGCCTCCCGCCCGCCCCTGCCTAGGGCCCCGCCCACCGTCGAACACGAGGTCGTCGGGTGCCACCATGGGCAGCAGTGCGCTGAAGGGCACGAACACCTCCTGGCCCTCGGCGTCCAAGCCCAGGCTAACGGTGCCGGCCTGCGTCAGCGAGCCGTAGTAGTTGGCCTCCTGGGGGGCGGCAGGCGGGGCGGAGTGAGGTGGGGCGTGGCGTGGGCCGCTGGCCGGCCAGGGCCCCGCCCGGCATCCTCAAGCTCCGCCTTACTTTTGGACGCCTCAGCCGCAGAAGCGGCTCCCCGTTTGGAGGTTCCCCCCACCACGGGAGCCGGCCGGCACCTTAGGCTCCTCCCCCTGAGGGCCCCCCCCCCTCCTTCGTAGAGCTCCGCCTCCTAGAGGCCCTTCTCCCTCCCGCACCGACTCCGGCCAAGGCCAAGCCCCACCCGACCCCCCACCTTGCGGCCGGTGCGCGTGGGCCAGGACAGGCGCAGCCGGTTGGCCAGCACGGCAGCGGTGAGCGTGGAGCCGTTGTTCCCACCCCAGCCGACGAGCATGACCCCGAGCCGGGGCACCTGCCGGACGGTCCGGAAGGTGAAGCGCGTGGACGTGGGGTATACCTGGGGACGGGCGGTGCAGTGAGTCTGGGGCCACATCCCCCTCTTACTGCAGGGACAGGCCCACAGACGTTGGGTCATTCCCGTCCCCTCCTGGCTCCCTAGTTCCCCCATTCCCACCCCACAACTCCTGGTCCCCTGCCTACCTTGAGGACACCGCCCTCGCGGCTGACGCACGTTGTCCGGTACTCGTACTGAGCCTCGATGGCGTCAGGGCCGTAGACCACGTCGGGGCTTTCGACCACGAACTCGGCTGTGGCCTCCATCGCGGAGAGCTAGGGGCGGAGGGTGGGCAGGTCAGCGGGGACACGGGAGCCGGCGGACCGAGGCGACTGCGGTCCCCGGAGAGCCCGCACCAAACCCGGGGACGCACTCACCGGCGTGGAGTCAACTCGGACAGTGGCGGACGGCGAGGGCTCGGCGCGCGAACTCCAGAGAAAAGAGCCGCGGCCCCGCCCACGCCCCGCCCCTCACCCCACCCGCGCCAGGGAGGAGGGGCGCGCGGGGAGGAGGGGCGCGTCTGCCTAAGATTCGGGTTCAAGGCCCCGGAGACCTTAGCCATCACCGCCCTTGGGATCCCGCCCTGCCTGGCGCGGCAGGACATCCACGTGGGCTCCAGACCCCGGCCCGAGCACGGAGCGCGTGGATTCACTTCGCACCACAGTCGCTTAAGGCGCTCGGCCACTTTGCCTCATTTTGCAAAAGAGGACAATAATGGTTGCGAGAGCGCGCCAGGCCCAGCCACAAAGCAAAAGGTGGAGCTGGAGCAGGGCAGGGGGGCTGGGCACCTGGGTCCGAGATACTGCAGTGGAAACTAAGGCCAGAACTTTTGACTCCCGAGCCAAACACTGCTTCAGCCTAGGCCGCCTCGGCCTCCCCCTTCCTGAGCAGAAGACACTCCCGACAGGGCTCACATGGCGCGTGTAGGGGGCGCTGCGAGGCCTCGATTTCCCTACCTGTGGCAGGAGGGCTTGGCAGGGCCAGGCTGGAGGGGGCCGGTGTTTGGTGAGAGGGCAGAGGAAGGGAGGGGGTGGACAGGACCAACGAGGTCAGCTGGGGAGGAGCTAGGCAGGCACAGCACGGCGCCCCCCCCCCCCCCCAGCACCCAGTGATAAGGGAGCGTGGGAACCCGGCGGGCGGGCGGGGGCGGCTCCCCCAGGAACTTTCCAAAACAAGCGGCCTCCTCCGGCTGGAAAGTTTCCACCACTGGAGCTGACCCAAAAGGTGGATAGTTGGGAACGTTTGCAGGAAACATGGTCAGGGCCTGGCCTTGGGGGTTGTGGGCTTCCAGACCCAGGCTTTACCCTCAAGGGGCTCCAGTGTAGGGGCGTCCGAAGTACGCTGGGGCACCCCTACCTAGACAGAGGCAACTCACAGATAGGGTCTGGCAAGGGCAGGCTGCCTGGAGGAGGTGGTTGCTGCAAGGTTCTTGAGACAAGAGACATCTCTTATGGGGAGATATGAAGGACTGCCCAGGCAAAAACCTGGGGGAGTGGGTTCGGGGGCAGATGGAAAGGTGGCCGGGTGGGAGGGAAGAGAAGCGGTCTGGGGACAAGGGCAGACCCTCGAGGCTGGAGGGAGGGAGTATTGTATAATATTTGGGTTTCGCCCCCAGTTCCTGGCTGGAGATTGAGTCCAGTCACCAACGGCCAGTGATTTCATCGTATGTACATAACGGAGCCTCTGCAAAAACCCAACAAGGAGGGCTCGGGAAGCACAGGACGGTGCTGCCCACGTGATGGGCGGTGGCACATCTGGAGAAGGCATGGAAGCCCAGTGCCATTCTTCGCTCCCTGCCCTCACCGTCTACCTCCTCCGGCCGTTGGGAGTGTTTTCCTGAGACTGTGAGCCATTCTGGCAAACCAAGGGGGGGAGCCGAGCCGGTGGGTCAGAAGTTTGGGTGGCCCGAGACTTGTGGCAGGTGTCTGAAGCCGGGGTGGTCTTGTGTGGGACTGAGCCCTTCACCTGTGGGGTCTGATGCCAGCCCCAAGAGTTGAAGTCCAGTAGGTGCCAGAAGACGGGAGGGAGCTTGTGCCTCCACGTGACAAGTGACCTGGGAATGTGTGCAGAGACCAGAGAGGTCCCCAGCCCCAGGCCTGGGGAGCCCTGGCGTTCACTGGGCGGCCTGCAGGAGGGGCCAGGAAGATGGTGGGGGCAGAGCTGACCCAGACAGGCTCCCCGGAAGGGCAGTGGGGTGGCTGGGTGGGGGGCTGGGAGGGACGTGGCCTCGGGCTGCTTCTAATCCTGGCAGACAAGTGGGCACCGTACAGTGATCGCAGGGACCACCTGGGGACCCTGGTGGGGCTCTCGAGGGCAGGGGCAGGGCTGTCTCAGCCACCGAGTGCCAGTGCCCAGGCGGAGCCTGGCGCACAGGAGGGACTGTGGGATCGGAGTGCCGGCAAGATGACACCTGGGGATGTCGTCCAACAAGTGGCCGGAATGGCGGGCGGCCCCTAGCCCCTCGGCCATGGTACAGATCGTGAGCTTGGGAAGACCCTTCTGGGGCTGGGGGGCTGGACTTGTGACGTCCTTGGCGCGGGAAGGATGGTCACCTGCCGCTGAGGTGCCGGGGGTGACGGCCACCCTGGGAGGCACGGGGGCTGCAGGGAAGTCTGGTGGAGGGCCTAGGGAGTCGGGTGGGCAAGGAGAAGCGGAGGCGTGACGGGGTTGAAGGAGGCAGACGCTGTCCCTGGACTCCGGACCGTGGGGGAGAGAGATGTTATCCCCAAGAAGAACGGTACGGGCAGGCCGCCCGAGGAGCAGGGTACACTCTGCCCCACAGGGCCTGCTTGACCTTGTCTCCTGCGCCCCTTGGATTCCCAGGCCACCTTAGAACTCGGACCAAGGCTGCTGGCCAGCAGGGCTGTCCCAGAGGCTAAGGCCCACAGCCCCTGACCCCTGGACCCCTTTAATCCCAGTCTTACTCTTTATCTATTTTTCCTTCCTAAGATAAACACCCGCCCGCACCACGTCCTTCAAGAACAGGACCCTGACCCCTGCCTTGCCTTCAGCTCCTCACCTGGAACATGGGACAAGGACAGCCATCCCTGCTGGCATCCCGGGCCTGTGGGATTCCACTGGGCCTCAGCGTCCCCATCCCCATCATGGGCACAGGGGCGGCCCCGGCGAGCCGGCCTAGTTGGGAGAAACAATAAAATAGTGCCGTCACCCCGTTTTCATCATTCCCCCAAACATGGGTGCTCCCCTGGCCCCACGCGTTCCCTGCTCCTGGGGGCTCTGGCACTTCGGGAGGCCTCTGCTGGGCCTGGCCTGCCCTGTCCACACCCGGGGACACGGCCCCGCTCACACACCCACCCTGGCTCCCCGCTGCCCCCACATCCCCAGTGTCCATTCCTCTCCTGCCTGTGACCAAGTGGTCTGGCCTCATGCCTTGGCACCTGCAGGGCCCATCACCTCGCCGGGTCAGCCTCCACCTGCCGGCTTCACCCCCACGTGTGCTCATCACCATGGCTACTCCGGGGCCGGCCAAGTCTAGTCCTGACCCCAGCCCTCCCCCACAGGGGCCCAGGAGGCCCCTGGCTGTGACAGACACAAATGCACCCAGGCACTCCGGGCTGCTAGGTTCGGTTCAGTGAAATTTATTGTAGGTCGAAAAAAAATCAGCATTCACCTGTTTAGTGTACAAAAAGGACACTAGATCTTTTAAGAAAATATTAGGAAACTGAAGACGCGGATGCCTTTCAATCGTAACATTTTGGCAAAAGTGAAAAGTTCTTGTAAACACCAACTCCATGGCTCAAAATAGTTTTTCTCCACAGTACAATATTAAAAAGGGGGTGCAAAACACAGTATCAATAAGTTAGACCATATTTAATCAGCCAGAACTTTTGTCCATCAACCCCCAAAGCACAAAACTTTTTCTTAGCTTCATAATTCCTTAAAAGGAGAAAAACAACAACAACAAAGAACAACAAAAAGCCAACAACAAAAAGGAAATTCAACTGAGAGTCCCTTGAACCGGTTCCCAGGGCAGAGGGCCGGGTCAGCCCCGAGGGCTGCAGCCTCCTTAAATAATCCCTTTTCACCCGGGTCCGCGCATCCAGCTGAGGACAGTCTACGCGTACAACGCGGCTGTCTGCAGAACTCGGGAGGGGGGGGGTCCCTGGAGTCTGCTCAACCCTTATCCCACTCCATTCCAAATGAAAAAAAAAACAAAACCACCACTGAAACATGAGGGGTCAGTTCCCTCGGTGCTCGGGGCATCCCAGGGGTCCCAAGAAAGGAGCCTTGGGTGGGGCAGGCACACTGCCGGTGCCTCCGTGAGGGCGCCTGCTCTTTGGGAAACCGTTAGGAGACGTCCCCATGGCTTGGAAAAATAGACATTTTTCTGCGTGAGCATTTCTGCTCTCCCTGCCCCACTACTGTTGGCGACAGCACCCCCCACCCACCCAGCGCACGACCCCAGGCTCCAGGTTGCAGCCTCTCCGTCTGCCTTCCCTGGTTGTGGCTTCGCCGAATGTGGCCCTGAACGTGAACACACGCCTCCGTCCCCACTGCACCCCGGCGGGGCCCTCACACACGCGTACACACACATACATGTGGTCCCCCAACACTGGGGGACACTAGACTAGGCACAGCTACTAAGCAGCAATGATGGTGTCCATGGATCCCACGCCCCCCGCCCAGAGTGGGCGGACGGGGCACGTTTTCTGAGCTCACTCTCAGGGGGTCCCCTGACCCCATCAACCCCCCCCCAGCCCCTCCCTGAGTGTAAACCCTGCGGTGACTCTGCTAAGATGACCCCGAGACCCACAAGTGGACTGAGGGACGGAGTGAGGTCAACAGCATGGAGACCACACGGTCTCAGCGCGAAAAGAAAAGCAGCAGCAAAGGGGGAAATGGAGAACGTAATAAAAGAAAATCTGACACTGTTGTTGCAGTGTGAGCTCGTAGCACAGAAAACCCCCAGTGACCCCCTACAGCTGAGGGCCTGAAATAGCAGGGTAGGCCTGGTGGGCCGAGAGCTGCTCTGCCCCTCCGGCTCTCAGCAGCTGCTCTGGGGCCAGCTGGAGTTCTCGAAATAGACCCGGGCGGGCCTCTACCCCCCTTAGAGCAGAGACCCCCTCCCGGCCTGGGCCGGGAGAGGCCCGGGGCTGTGGGGAGGGCCCGGGGCGGGAGCACGGCCAAACGTGGGCATCAGCTGCACCCCCGCCCCTGCCCACCGCCCGCTCCTTGGTTCTCTCCTCAGCCCTCAGGAGCAAGACTTTCAGATGGCATCTGTAATACTGCAGAAAGGACACAGGGCGGCATCTAGACCCTGGTGTCCAAGGAGGGGAGGCACAGGTTTAGAAAAGATGCTTTCTCTCTCATACAAAAATAGACTGAAGTCTCATAAGCAGTAGCTAAAAGTGGCTGTCTTTGTATAAAACTAGAAAAGGCAGGCAGGCTGGCCTTGGAGTCTTTCGGGGAGGGGGAAGCTCAAGCCCCTTGGGCTGTGGGCCGGAGAAGAGGTGGGGGCTCCTCAGGAGGTGGGGGGGGGGCCGGGGGAGTGGGATGAGACGCCGGCCCCTGCACCTGGATCTGTGACCTGTGGGCACCAGGTCTGCAGGGGCTCCCCCGAAAGCCGGCGTTGCTGGCTCAGATGAATGTGTCTTCCTCGTGTTTATTTGTTTAAATAAATCTCTTTTTTTCCGCTCTGGAACTCCCCCCCCCCCCCCCCCCCCCGCCCCCAGCTCCCCCACCATCCAGGAGGGTTGGCCCGGCGTGGGGAGCCGGCCTGGACCACCAGCCACGTGGCCTCAGGCTAGGGCCAGGCCTGCAGCTGTCGCTGGTCGTACTCGGCGATGAGCCTCTTGATGTGGGCCAGCTTGCTGTGCAGGTACTCGCAGCGGTGCTTCTCCTGGCTGTAGTTGGTGTTGGTCTGCAAGAGAGCAGCGGCAGGGCTGAGCCACATCCTGCAGCCGCCACCCCAGAGCGTGCCCTGTGTGAAGCAGGCCAGCCTGCTGGTCGCCTCGGGCTCCCACTCCCCCTACTTGCAGGCCAGTGCCCACCAAGCAATGACAGGGACCCTTGCTCTACCTTGGGCCAGAGCCCTGGGCTGGTGTCCCCCCCGCCCCCCGAGCCCCATCCTGGGAAACACGGTCACTGCCAGGATGAGGGTCGGAGGCAAGACTGTCACAAAGTCTCCTTCCTGGGCTGGGACCTGGCTGGCAGAGAAACACCCTGGCACACGGGGGCACACACGTGGTGAACCCACAGCTCGTGGCCTTGAGGAACAAGAACTGACAGAGCCCTGACTAGGCATTCCTGCCAGACTAGCAGCTGGGGGCGGGAAGCTTCGGCTCCTCCCTTGACCTTGGAGGGAGCCGGAAAGAGCCTGGGGGCTGCACCCACGAAGCAGTGGGAGAGCTGGAGGGTGCTGGGGTGCCCAGGGAGGGACGGGCTGAGCTTCTTAGCTGTCAATGGGGGCAGGGACTGCCCTGAGGACCCAAGACTCCAGCCTAGCCAAGGCCCATCCCCCTTCCGTCCTCTCCCGGACTCTAGTGCTGCTCACCTTAAGCCAGCTTCTTCGTCTGACCCCCTCCCCAAGCCCACAAAGGGTAGATACTTACCTTTTTGATTTTCCGATATTCCTGCAAAATCTGCCCGCGAGTAGTCTGGAAAACAAAAGAAAGCGAACAATGACCCTGGCTGCAGGAAACCCCAACTGAGTGACCCCTTCTCCCTGATAACCTGTGACCTGCACAGTCACCACCTGCCTTGAGACAATAGCCTCAGCATGGCGTGAGGGAAGCTGACCAAAGTAAAGAGAGGCAGGAGGAGGGGTGGGGAGGGGAGATGACCAAGGCAGGAGGTGGGGGGAGGATGTTGGGCCAGGGGAGAGAGAGGCAGGGGCCCAGCCTCAGGGACCAGCACGATGGGCAGCACAGTGGGAGGGAGGAGGCGAAGAGCAGGCTGGGTGGCCTCCTTCCCTCACACCCAGTCGGCCTGTCCTCTGTTCAAGGCCAACCATCCGAGGGTGCGGGGAGCTACTGGGGGATGTCCACGTGGGGGCTGCAGGAGGGAAGAGAGAGAGAGACCCCAGGGACTCATGTATCCCAGACCCTCAGAACCCCGATCGTGCCTCCAATTACGAGCTGGTTTCGTCTGGAAACCAAGGTGGCTCCCACGAGGGGAGACGGACCTCAACACCCGATCAGTCAGATAACTAGCTCCGAAAGGTGGCATGAGGGGAGGCTGGAGTCCCAGGGCTGCTGACCAAGGGTAGAGCCCCCCCCCCCCGACCCCCCACCGGTGAGCTCCAACACGGTCAGCTCGGGGAGCCCGCACGCCTTTGATCAGAGGGCGAGGGAGTCCTAAAACGGGCAGGGGGCCGCAGGAACCCTCCAGCCCCTCCCCCTGTGCCTCTGAGTGCACGGATGGGCTGTGAGCCGCAGAGAGGACCCCAGGTGCTCTTGCAGGGGGGACCCAGTAATCCGACCCACCGCTCTGTGCGGGGCCTGGCTGTTTCAGTTGCTCCAGACGCCACCCCTGCCCTAACAGGTCATCTCCCACCTGCGGAGTCAGCCTCCACCGTCCCCATTGCAGAGGAGGCCAAAGTTGGCCTGACAGCCCGCTGACTTCCACGGCTGAGCCCTGGGGATGGGCCTGAATCACATCAGCAGCAAGGGACAGCTGACTGCCAGGCGTGACAGTGAGAAACACCGGCAGACGCGGCGGCCCTCCTCACCTGGGAGGGGTAGAGGCCAGGCTCGGGGGCCATGGCTAAGGCTGGAGGCCTCGGGTTTGGCTGCACCCATGAGAAACAGGCCCGTCTCACCAGGTCGGGTGCAGAGCATGGGGGGCAAGTGTGCAGCGCCCGGGGTGGGCCGGGCCCCCAGCCCAGAGTATGTCTGTGAGTGCGGCGGACAGTGGTGGGGGAGGGGGGTGTCCACCTCGTATTCCTCGGAGCCCTGGGACAACTGCCGGAGCTGGGCGTCCAGCTGCGTGAAGCGCCGTGTGATCTGCTCAATGCGCGCGTGCAGGTCGCGGTACTCGCTGTACTCCGCGTTAAAGTCGTTCTTGTAGCTCTGGCGCTGCTCCGAGGAGGAAATGGTGGCATATTTCCTGGGGAGAGGGAGAGAGGGGCCAGCAGGGCCCAGGGGGCTGCTGCAGAGAGAGGCTGGGGTGCCCGTGGTCGCCGGCGCCCCGCCCCCCACCAGCCCCCACC